CGCATGTGAAACGCCGTATCTTCGACTTCCGGGAAAGTGGTCTATAGGTGAAGGCGATGTCGAGCAAAGCAAACAACAGAATATTTCAAATCTTTAAACAAATTTTGATGAAAGACCACTATTCAAAATAATATTGCCGTTGCAAACCTTACACCAATTATGCACAGACTGCTGGATAGGAATAGTATATTCTCAGCCTAGTTCAACGCAGCTGTCAATCCAACAAAAATGTGAATAGCTACGTAAATAATAATTATAACATGTCATGATGATGTGATACTACGTGATGTCATTCACTACTTTTTTTTCTCTATTTTCCAGTACGTAACTACCGGTAATTCTGAAAAGCTCCTGGCATCATCTTCATTTTCTCGCAGAATTTGCTTTTCTGCTGATCTTTTTCGACTTGTCACTAGTTTTTGGTGGTGCTGCTGCCGCCGCTTGGGTGTGTCGGCCATATAAACTGGAGGAAAGAAATAACAAGCATGTTAGGTGTGCAGTTCTGGTGTCAATTTTTGTCTATGATAATGTTAATTTTTGAACCAAGCAGACAGTAGTTTGACCAGGGTTTCACAAGCCATTAGACTTTAACAACTTCTATGTTGCATGACTAGAGAAGTTGCCAGTGCCTAAATTTACCCGCCCATGACAAGACTTACTATTTATAAGTATCAGATCTGATATAATCAAACACGTGACTTATTCCTGCTTGGAACTGATCAGCTATTGGTGCAGCCCAAGGATTATTGTCACCTTTAAAGACGCGCCTTTCTCCAACAAGATCCAGTTTACCTAAAAGAGTAAATTTTATATCATATTACTGTAAGATTAAAATGCATTTGTAATAATGTAAAATAGTTTATATATTCATTTGAATTTCACTTCAAATCATCAAACTTAAATTCCAGTGAAATTATTTTCACTGGTTTGCAAGTAATTTACGTGTATGTGGAATCCATTAGTGACAAATTCTAATATCGAAAAATCGGGAATCATACACCAAATTCGTTTCATTCATTCCCCATTGGAGATCTCAAAATAAGGACAAGTTTGGTATTTTTAGTTATTTTCAACAGGAAAAACATCTTTGTTGAAAAAAATATTGAGAACAGTATATACATGTTAGCTTTACATATTATGTTTCCATTTTTCAGTTTTTTTTCAGAGACTCTCCTCAGCAGTTATCAATGAATGAGCTAACAGTAATAAACCATGTACTTACCTAACTCTGGAGGAATCACCGTGAGCCGATTCCCCTGTATATGAAGTTCCTTTAATCTTTCCAACCCACCTATTTCTTTTGGCAGTGATATTAAATCATTATCTCTTAGCACCAACTACAGATGAATGTAATCAATTAATGTACAATTTTTTTTGCCAAAATCTGGGTGTAACATTTTTCATATTTTACTATAATTTTTACATTTTTTAACATTTTTGAAAATTAAGGAAAAAAAGGTTCTATGTTGCAAAATGACAGAAGTTCAATTTTTCTGGCTTAAATGTAACAAAAATATTTGCAAGTTTTCTGAGATATGCTCTGAATAGCGCCATTCACAAATGACGTCATGATTAATAATTCATACAGACACTCGGCTCAGACAACTAAGTAAACAAAACAAAAATGGTGACAGATTTATTTATAACTCTTGCAGTATTGAAATAATATAGCAATGACATTATTCAGCCAATACACATGCTTGGAATTCGTTTTTTCCTGCCAAACTTAAGCTAGCATTGAGTTGTTTGAAAATTTATTGAATTTCCAAAATTTTCCAAAATTAGTATTTACAACATTTACACACTTCAGGTACTTTTGTAACTAAAACCCTAATGTAACCGCAATTTTTTCCCAGGAAACTACTTACAATCTGGAGTTTTTGTAGATGACCAATCTCTGCTGGAATTGTCTCAAAATCATTGTCACCGAGATAAAGTGCACGTAGCGTCTCTGTAAATAAAAACAACAACAAATCAGATCCCGCCCAAATTTTCAGCACAAATATTTTCACATTTTGTAAAATTTTCACTTAAAATTTGTAAAAAAACTTGTAGTGAGAGGGGAAAAACTAGTTAAAAATTTAACTGTGATTCAGACAATGTTTAATTAATATTTACTACCCATTCACATCATTTGAAAGCTTACACATAGGTGAACACAGTAGTGCATTTGCCGTACCAATGTTTGTTTAAGGGATTACCTGATGTCAACCAGGCTCAGTTAAAACAAAAACACCTGTAGTCCTTAAAGCGAAGTGGTGGTCACCTGTGCACACACAAGAATTGAGTCCCAACCAATGATAACAATACATGCTTAAAATGCAAAGGCTCATGGGTGGACGCTTGTTTGTAAACAATGACATGCTATGGCCATCTGACGCATGTGCAGGTGATGACTCCCCCGCTTTAACTATGGTTCCCCAAAGTGACATTTGTTGGTGAATGAATCTCGGCCAGTTGATTTAGCCTTTCCATTGAGTATGTGACACACTAACCCCGGGAAGGATTAAACCATTATTTGGTGTTCAACCAGGTAGGATCTGAACTCAAGTCTATTGATTATAAGTCTGATGCATCAACAACTACAAACCTTTCAGCAGTTCCAATTATTTGTCATCTTATCTACTTGTTGCAGAATCTGTGATGAATTCAATAATCAACTGTGACTCCTTAGCTTGGATTAGAATCTACAAAAGTACTCCCTTACCAATCAGAAAAAAGTTTCCAGGAAGGGAATTTTCATTGAGGTTATTGTACATCAAATCCAGTATTTCCAGTTTGGGGAAAGCACCAAATCCTCTCGGAAGACCATTAAGTCGATTAACTCTATAAAGAAATGAACGATTATTAATGAATAGCAATTTTTATGGTGTTTTTGTCAGAATTTTGTACAATTTCACAAAAGTGGGTGGTTCTGTGGTGAATCTTAGTCAAGGACCGTATTTACTCTATAAGAAGAGCATTGCTAAGTTGTAGTTTCCTTATCCTGTGTAGTAAAGCAAAACAATTTTTCACCAAGGAGCCTCTTTCTAAATTCATACTCACAAGAAACTGAGGGCATAATAGTTTATAAGGGTCTATAGAGGTGCATGTAAGTGTGTAAACACACAGCTTCTAATAGATCACATGTTACATTACTGACTTTAGAAAGCCAAACAAGATGGAAATTATATTTAATTTAAGTGAGATTTATATATGAGCTGATCCAAATGTAACAAAATCAGAGAGCTTTGTTCACTCATCTACATCACCTAAAACTACGTCTGACCCAATGATATGAAAATTGCATTCAGGTAGCTTTCCTCTGAAGAAATTTGTTAACCAATCAGAGTGCCTTACTGACAACAGCCTGCAACAGAAGTTCCGATTGGTCACTGATCTGCACATACTTAATATAATGTAGCTACATATGTATACTACATCAGCAGCCATTTATTAACCTCAAACAGAGTCTCTACCTACCTTACATCAAATTTACCATACTCATCCTACTTAGCGCTCAGGGTAATCAGCTCAAACAATTTTTAGGGGGGTGGGCCCTTAGTCGAGCACTCCACTCGAAAAATTGGCAAAATGACAATCTTAGTTTACCATGTGCTAGATTGGTGGAATAGTAAGCCATTTTTGCAAAAAGAGTTGCATTGTCACAGCACTTTTACATTTTTACTTTTTATTTAACAGGTCACTGTTGAAGTGTAGTTTATGCACGGTTACCGTGGTCTTCGCATTTGCACATTATTCCCTGTGGCCAATATCCATGCTGTACTGAATAAATTTGATTACCGGTATTCGAAAAAGTCAAACAATGATCAAAAAGCAGGTTTTATGACTAGACAGTCAAATTTGGAGCATTTTGGAAGGGATGGATGCTTAGCCGAACGTGAACCCGAAAACAGAAAAGCCCCAAAAGTGGGGGTGGGTGCTTAGTCGAGCATAGGCT